ATCAGGTTCTCCATGAAAGATCAGAAATCTTCTCTTAGATCCTCAGAGAGAGAGTTAATCTAAGAAATAACCTAAACCTAATGAATGCAGACAAATGCAGCTCTTAAAAATGAACAAACAAATAATGCCAGGATGGTTTTCCAAATAGGAACAGAAGACAAAATCTAACAGACATAGTTAAAGAAAGATTTCATCAATCAGAAAGGGTTTACTTGGGCATCCCATAACTGGGTGAAAAGGGAGACTCTGAGAACACTGAGTGGGAGTATGTCTTGTTTTGTGGAAAGAGGCAGACATGATGTGGGGCAGTGGGTGGGGGTGTGGGTAGGGCAGGGAAAAGCTGTAGTAGTAAAACATTCAGCTTCACTTTCTCTAATCCCAAACACACTACTGGTCATCTGGCTTCTCAGGATGCTGGCCTTCAAGGAGAGAAGACTCCATCCAGTGTGTGTAATTGCTCTGCCTGGCAGTTATTGTTCTCATGATAAATTGGTAAATTGACACCTAAAATATAACAGGCTCTTATTAGACCTAGTAAACCGTGTCAACTGCTTAAACCCAATAAACTAGGCACTGATGAAAATGAGTCTGTTACATCCAAATCCTAACCCCGTCCTTCCAAAACCAGGTCAAATGGAATCTTTGATCTTTTTAGAGGGAGAGTGTTCCTCTTCTCTGGCTTCCAAAGGATAATGAGTAGAGTCCAATGCCCGGTAGGCTGGCACAGAGTAAACACTCACTGAAAGGAAATGATAGCTGTCATTATTATTCATCTTTCTTGTGGCATTGATTTATTTTTTCAGCTAACATTTATTGAAACTTTAAACTGTGCCAGGCCTGGGCAAGTAATGACAACTACTTTCTTTTTTGTGTCTATGTTATCATTATATCATTAAGTACAAACATTCATACGTCTCATTCCTTCACTAAAATGTAAGATTCTTAAGTGCAAGTCCCATGCGTGTCCCACACCATATCTGTGGCTTATATGGCATGTTTTACTTTCTGCCTAGTTCTACCAAACTATTTATACATGTTTTATCTCTCTATAAGAGTTGTAGTTTTCTTGAGAATTCTTTTCATCCTCTTTCATAGTATTTTATACGTTAGGCCTTTAATAGATATTTATTGAATAAGAAAATGAATGCTCTTGTCAAAAATATCCTCTCCCTGCATGCATTGATTGGTCCATCCCAAAAATGACTGACTAGAACCAATTACTCTACTAAGCAGGGTGATTTCTATATCACAATATTTTGGGGTAGTACATGAGGTTCACAAATGTTTGTTTACTTACAATTTCACTACTTCCTCATTTAAAAAAATAAGCTACCTGGCAAGATTTCACACTACCCAAGAAGCTGTGGGGAAACCATCATTTTATTTTCAGTGATACACTAACTTGATATGAAGATGATCGGGAAGTAAGGTCTGTGTCAATTGGTTATAAAAACGGTACCAATTGGAGAAGAGAGAACTGAAAGGCAGTTTAATAACCATCCAATGATTTAAAAGATTAGGCAGAAACAAAACAGAACAAAAAACCTTTAAATGGTCTCTAGGCCAGCATCTTCATTTTGCTGAGGACAGAGAGCTCCGTCAGGATGCACAGTACAGTCACATCCCAAACACAAATCTCTCACCCAGAGAACCAGGCGTGGCCCTCTCCAAGGTCCTGCCATCTATGGAGAAGTTCTGCAAGCTTGCACAGAAGGAATTCAGCCCACGTTTCATACACATGTCTAGGCTACTCATGGAGACAGAGACAACCTTTGCCCATTTAATGTATTGGCTTTAAGTTCTTTTACAAAGAGAGAGTGCATTCTGTGCAAGTCTGACCACCCCACAGATAATAATGGGAAAATGAGAAGAAAATAAAAGAGGCACACCTGGTAGCATCCTTGGCTTGACTCCCTATCCCACTGCTCATTACTGACGATGACTATGGTTTCTTTTACTAAATAATATATGTGTGACTGTGGGGCAGGACCGCTGTGGGTTTGATACATAGACCAGCCCTTGTTGTTCTGCCTGAGTAAAGGCAAACTCCAGACTGCTGACCTGTAGACTTTTTTGAGTGGTTCTGATGGAATCATCATTTTTACCTCTTAAGGATACAGTGAGTACAGATGAGCTGTCAGATAAGTAACAGGACAGCCAGACCACCTGGGAGCGGCTGCATTCTTCACCTGCCTGGGACAAGTGAAAAGATCAAAAAAGGTCATCCTGTAAGGAACCTCAAGGCAAATTGAGGGCCAAGTAGCTGACCCCTTATAGGGGAATGCTTCTCACAGTCAGCCAGAGCCAGTGGCTGCTGTTCTGTCTATAGCCAAAGAAATGCCCTTAAAGATAAGCGGTTTGATTTCCAGGGATACATGATTAGCAAATATGAATCACTGTAACAGATTCTGTTACTTCCACCATTTGAAACAGGTGAAGGAATCAGTGTCCAGAACCTGAAAAGGCTGCATTTCTCGAGCAGAGAAAGAGTCCAGACCAGGGGTTCTCACCCCTGGCTGCACATTAGAATCACCTGGAGAGTTTTCAGAAATACAGATGCTTGGATCTCACCCTGCACATTCTGATTTAATTGGTCTGAAAGTGGCCTGGGCCTTAGGCCAGGTTTGAGTTAATCACAGGTTTAGAGGCTGACATATTTGAGGATCTACGATGCTTTCTGTCTGCTGACGAATGAAAGCAGTAGTCTAGCCCCGTCATTCTCTAAAGGTGGTTCCAGGGTCAGCTATAAGCATTACCTGGGAATTTGTTAGAGTACAACTTCTCAGGCCCCACCCCAGACCTACTGAATCAGAATTTCTGGGGTTGGAGATCAGCATTCTGTAGTTTTGTAAGCCCTCCATATCATTCTGATCCTTGTCAGAGTTTGAAAACCCACTGATCTAAGTCAAGACTTTGCTACTCAAAGTGTGGTCTTACAGACTGGTAACATCTATGTCCCCTGGAGCCTGTTAGAAATGTCACAGACCTACTAAATCAGAATCTGCATTTCAACAGTATTCTCAGGTAAGTGTATGTGCACTGAAAGTTGAGAAGCACTGGTCTAAGAAACAGTGGCTGATTAGTATTCTCACTGGATTTTAGTTGTGATGTTTCAGAACATCCAGGTAAGAGGACAAGAGCACAGCCAGAGCTGGTAAGGAAAGCTGTGACTCTGCATCTGTTACCTTTGCAGGAGGAGCCTATAGGTAGGATATTGACTCAAAGAAATATCTGTAGTAGATACAGTGAATGTGGTAGTAATAAGAATAACTACTGTTTACCAAATAGTTACTTTGAGCTTTATAGGTATAATTGCATGTAATCCCTGTAGAAAACCAGAGGGAGATCATCCATCCACTCATTCATGCATTCAACTAATATTGTATTATGTAAGTATGTATGCCAGGCACTTTTCTAGGCATATCTCTATAATCTAGGGATATAGCCCACCCACCCAGCCACCCCCACCTATTATAAGGCTCACATCTAGATGAAATAGCCAACAGTAATAAATACACTGATGCATAATAAAGCCATGGATGTTATGAAGAAAGGAAAATGGTGTAAGGGACAGGGATGAAGACTGACAAGGAAGTGCTACAAGGTAGTGAGAGAAGGAAATCCTCTCTGAGCAGGTGGCATTTGAGGGAAGACATACAGCTCTTAAGGGGAAGAATATCAAAGAGGACACAGTGAGTGGGAGACAGTGGTTAAACATGTTTGGAAGATTCCCATAGGCCAGGTCAGCTTAAAACTAAATTGTCTCATAGGCCATGGTAAGTCTTTAGAGACCAGGAAACTGAGCAGGGTTTCTCAAACTTTAAGGGGCCTGCAAATGGCTTGGGACCTTATTAAATGGTAGTGTGCAGTCAGTGAGTCTGGGGTGAGACGTGAGTCTGCATTTCCAACAAACTCCCAGAGATGCTGCCGATCCTGGTCTGTGGGCCACACTTAGATTAAGCAAAAGGTAATGGGGTTTGAGAAAGGTTCTTGTGTGCACTCAGTTTATAGAAGAACTATCTATCCCCTTTTATTTTTTTTATATATTTTTTAAAATGTTTATTTATTTTGGGAGAGAGAAAGAGAAGCATGAGCGGGGGAAGGGCAGAGAGAAAGGGAGAGAGAGGATCCCAAGTAGGTTCTGCACACAGTCAGTGCAGAGCCTGACGTCCAGCTGGATCTCAGGAACCCTGAGTTCATGACCTGAGCGGAAATGTGAAAAAGAGTCAGATTCTTAACTGACTGAGCCACCCAGGTTCCCCATCCCTTTTCATTTTGAAGGAGAAATAATAAGAAAAACTGAATGCCTTGGTAACTGTTGATAATTTGTGCTGTCTCTTGTGAAATATTTAAAAGATATGATACGCCGGTATCATAGAGACAAGTGTTATTGCTGGTGATCATCTCAGTGGAACACCAAAATACTCGTGAGCCTCTAAATCCAATGCATTATACTTGCAGTAACTGACTTGAGGAAGCCAGCAGTTCAGCAGGCCTGGAAGTCAGCCTCCATCTGGTCTGACCTCACCAGACGCTCCTGCTCTGGCCCCCCTGCAGCCTTGCCTTTGGTCTCTTCTCCACAAGGGAGATGCTCCGTGTTCCCAGGTGTAGATGGGCTCCAGGGTTTCAGAGAAACATGAACCAGTTTCCATGATCAAATCAGTCAGGCTTGAGTAAAAAGCAGAACCAACTAAAAAGGGGTGGGGATGTGGGTAGAGTGTCAGTATTTAGCTCAAGGCTTCCTTTCATGAAAACAAGCATAACTTCCAGTATCAAACAGATGTTCAAAGGAAAGGACTGCTCTTCACTTTCTCTGGTCACTTGATATTCATGGGGTCTCCCTTGAACCTGGGGCCGGAGCGGGGTGGAGAAGCGGGGAGATGTTCTGTGTATGTGCTGTAGATGCCATTGCCTTGATGAATGACATGGTTTGGTTTGGTTTGTTTCCCTCCCCTTTTGTTAATTCTCTGTGTTCTTTTTCCTTTGTGCTGCACGATTAGGACCCTGCAGTGGGACACAGACCCCTCAGTGCTCCAGCTGCAGTCAGACTCAGAACTTGGGTATATGTCTGCTCTTTTGTTACTCCTTTTATGATTTCTTTGCTATAGTTGTGTTGAAATGCTGGAGCTGTTGTTTGCTCATGTTTTTTTTTTCCCCCCTTTTGTTGAACTTCCAGTTGGAGAAGTTTATTTCCTTCTGTTAGTTTTCCTTATAAAGTTAAGCTCTGAAGAAAGTCCCTCTTTGTGGAAAACACCACAAAAAGGTGGCTTTTGATGTCTCCTTAATTCCTATCACTGCAAAACAACACTCTTCTAAAACAAAAATATAAACGTACACCCACCCCTCTGCTTCAAGGTGGGGCGCAAGTATTCTGTGGGAGGAGATACATTTGAGGATACCCTTACCATCCTTTGCTTCTACTAACAAATTTCCTTAGGGTTAATTTTTGTCTCAAATTGATATGAAAATGTCCTGTCTTGTGTGTTTCCTTTCCTTTTCACTTTTTTGGGGACTCACAGGAAGCATTTATTTCGAATTAAGTTTGAACATATAAAGATTCCTGTTAAAGAAAAAGCAAATTTGTTCAATTTCTCAATATTAAGAAATCTCAAATATTGATGGATAATATCTCCTACATTGGAAAGATCTTTTTTTTTTTTTTTTTTTTCCCAGATGGAACTGTACTGTCACAGGTTAAAAGATAGCTTCAGAATGGAAAACTCATCCCCAAAGGAAAAAACACACAAGCATATCCTAGAAACTGAATTTATTTCTCTTGTGGGACTGGAGTTAGCCATAGTGATGCATGAGGTATTTCCAGAGGGGTGCTTATACCAGCTCTTGCTCAAGCTCAGGACAGCCAGCCTGTGTGTTTCTCTTCCCAACTTTGCATTCAGTGAAATCAGCCATGGTGGAAGGATTTACACTATAAAAATTGGCAAATGCTACAAACCAGGGCTTGCCCCCTTTCCCTCAAGCCAGTTAACAAACATTTACCAAATATGCCACTCGGCCCCTCCATATGTGAATAGCACACGTTATTACAGTATTTTATAAAATTATCATTTTTTTCTAAATTTAACCCCATAAAATTTATTTACTTGTTTATTTATTATTTATTTTGAATTCCTGAGATTCCTGGGCATGTATCTGTGGGTTTCTATCAATGTCAGTGCCTGCTGTAGGTGTCCCGGGAGGTTGAAGGGCTGGCTGGGTGTTAGATTAAATGCCATCTGCCCGTGTCCCTTTGTATGCAAGAATTCTCAGAAAACCCACAAGCCTGCTAAACCAAAGAAATATCCCAACACTTCAGGTAACTAACCGAAAACACTTTTTCAACATTACTAAATTCTTGGCTATTTAATTTTGTAGTGTATTGTATGTCATATTTCAATTTTTATTATTTGAATGACCAAGAAATGTGGCTTAAATCAAGCACAGAAACATGAAGATATAGCATGTTACAATTCAGGGGAATTTCAGAGTGCAATCCTTCAATATTTCATTGTGTTTAAAAAAAAAATAGAGGATGGAACTGGCACAGACTCTACCCGATGCGCTTAAATTAACAGATTTTTAGACAGATTGTGGCATTGCTAAATTACACTTGCTGATGTGGAACAGTTGGGAATTTTCCCATTTATATGTGTTTTCTAAGCTAAAACTCAGTTGACTATGCAGATTAAAACTTGTGACTTACTCTGGGGAGGTGGCGTATCTGTGGCTCCCACCTTGCCTGTCACATTTTACTTCAGAGCAGGCCCAGTGAGTCAGAGAAAGATGAGAAATGAGATTTTCTGTTCGCTGAGTGGTTGGTCGTAGAGAGTTTGTAAGGAGCATTCAGACTATTTGAGAGAAGAGATGATTTTAGCCAAGTTACAATTTCAAATACTGATTAGTGAAAATTTCCCTTTTCTGACAGTCGGTGTAGGGCAGTCTTTCTCTCATACACAGTTTTATGGAATATACTTCTGGCAACAAGATTTTCCTGGAGATTTTATTTCCTCTTCTTGATGCTTGGCATGGGGTTGACCATAGTCCATGGCTTGCCCTGTCCCTTTGTTTTTTTTAATCGAAGGATAGTTGACATTCACTTGATTTTTTTAAACAGCTTTATTGAAGTATAATTAACAACAACAACAACAACAAAAAACCCTGCACACATTTATTCAGATTGGTAAGTTTTAACAGGTGTACACATTTTATGAAACCATCACCACAACAAAGATGGTAAACAGATTCATCATCCCCAAAAGTTTCCTCACAGCCCTTTTAACCCTCATCCTGCTTCCTCCCAACCTTCAAAACAAACAACTGGTTTTCTTTCTGTCACTATACGTTCGTTTATATTTCCTAGAATATCATATGAATGAAACCATGTGATAGGCACTCTTTTGACTGACTTCTTTCATGCAGAATAACTATTTTGACACTGATTCACGTGAGATGTATCAGTAGTTCATTCGTTGCTATTGCTGAGTAGTCCTCATCTGGATATGCCAGTTTGTTTATCCAGTCACTTTGATGTACATTTGAGTTGTTTCCAGGGTTTTTTTTTGCCCATTACAAATAAAACTGATGAGCATTCATGTACAGATCATTTTATAGACATATATTTTCATTTCTTTTGGGCAAATGTCACCAAATTGAATGGCTGGATCATATAGTGCATGTACATTTAACTTAAGAGACTGTCAAGGTATTTTCAAAGCGGTTTTATCAGGATACATTCTCACCAGCAGTGCATGAAGCCCTCAATCCCTCCCGATTCTTGACAACACTTGACTTGGATTTTTAAAAATATTAATTTTTTTAAACACTATTAGAGGAGTGCAGTGGTATCTCACTGTGGTTTTAATTTGCGTTTCCCTAGTGACAATGGTGTTGAATATCTCTTTATGTGTTTATTTGCCACATGAATATCTTCTTTGATGAAATGTCTGCTAGAATCATTTGCCCTTATTGTTTATGAATTGGGTTGTTTTCTTATCATGGAGTTTTGAGAGTTCTTTATATATTTGGGATACAATCCTTCATTCGATGTGTAGTTTGTAAATATTTTCTCCCCACTTGTGACTTGTCTTTTTTATTCTCTTAACAGTGTCTTTAAGAAAACAAACCTGTTTAATTTTGACAAATTCCAATTTACAAATTTGATCTTTTATGGATCATGCTTTTGGTGACATAATTTTAATATCAAGGATTCCTTAAATAGGTGGTAGAATACAATTGTCTATGCAATGGTTTGAGTTTGGGATTTTATTGTGGGGACTATTTAAAAAACAAATTCAGGGGCGCCTGGGTGGCGCAGTCGGTTGAGCGTCCGACTTCAGCCAGGTCACGATCTCGCAGTCCGTGAGTTCGAGCCCCGTGTCAGGCTCTGTGCTGATGGCTCAGAGCCTGGAGCCTGTTTCCGATTCTGTGTCTCCCTCTCTCTCTGCCCCTCCCTCGTTCATGCTCTGTCTCTCTCTGTCCCAAAAATAAATAAACGTTGAAAAAAATAAAAAATAAAAAACAAATTCAATAATTTTAATAGTGGTGGAGCTATTGAGGAAATCTGTATTTTTCTGAATGAGCTTTGGCAGTTTGTATCTTTGAAGTAATATGTCCGTTTCATCTCCATTGGCAACTTTATTGGCCTAAAATTGTATATGTATTCTGTTATTATCTTATTTTGTATATGTATTCACTTATTCTCTTATTATCTCTTTACTCTATAGCTACAGAATCTGTAGATATAGTCACCTGTCTCATTCTTGATATTGGCAAATTTTGTCTTATATCTTTGTCTTCTGGTAAGTATGGCTAGAGGTTTATCAATTTTATTGATCTTCTCAAAGAACCAGCATTTGGATTCATTGATTTTCTTTATTTTTCTATTTTCTATTTCACCAATTTCTACTCTGATACTTCTTTTGCTTACTTTATGTTTAATATGCTTTTCCTCTTCTAGTTTCTTAAAGTAGAAGCAGAGGTCATTGACTTGAGATCATTCTTCATTTTTTTTTTTAACGTTTATTTATTTTGAGAGAGAGAAAGTGCAAATGGGGGAGGGTCAGGAGAGGGAGAGAGAGAGAATCCCAACCCCTGGTGCAGGCTCAATCTCAAAACTGTGAGATCATGACCTGAACTGAAATCAAGAGTCAGATGCTTAACCAATTGAGCCACCCAGGCACCCCGAGACTTTTCTTCGTTTCTAATATAGGTATGTAGTGCTATAAAATTCCCCTTACTGCATCTTGCAAATTTTGATATATTTCAATCATTCTCATTGAATTCAAAATACTTTCCAGTTTCCCCTTTTTACTTCATCTTTAAGTGATGAGCTATTTGGAAGTGTGTTATTTAGTTTCCACATATTTGGGGTTTTTCCAGAGATCTTTATGTTATTGATTTCTAATTAAATTATTTTTTGGTTACAAAACATATTTTGTACTATTTGTGTCCTTTTAATTTGTCCAGACTTAGTTTATGGTCCATAGTATGATCTGTTTTAGTAAATGTCCTATGTGCCCTTGAAAAGGATGTGTTGTGCTGTTGTTCCATAAATGTTCTATAAATGTCAGTTAGGTCAAATTGGTTGATTATGTTGTTTCAGTCTTCAGTATCTTTTGCTAATGTTCTGTTTGTTGGCTCTGTCAATTATTGCTAGAGGGGTGAAATTTCTAACTACAGTTTTGAGATTTCCTATTTCTTGCAATTCTGTCAGATTGTGCTTCATGTATTTTGAAATATTGTATTAGGTGCAGAAATGTTTAAGATTCTTATGTCTCTCGATAAATTGATGTCTTTATCATTATGAAATGAACTTCTTTGTCCTTAGTAATATATTTTGCTCCAAATCTCCTTTGTGTGACATTAATATTAGCCACTCTAGCTTTCTTTTGATTAGTGTTAGCATGGTATATCTTTTTTCACTCTTTAACTTTTACTTTTATTTGTTTCTTTACATTAAAAGTACATTTCTTATAGGCAACATGTAATTGGGTGTTATATTTTTATCTGTTCTAATAGTTTCTGTCTTTTAATTGGGATATTTGCACTATTCGCATTTAATGTA